ATTATTGACTGGATATGCTACTTCGTTTAAGGGTGAAGTTGTAGCATTTGTTTCGCAGTATCCTAAGAGTCCTAAGGGTAGTGTTATCTGAAATGGTGAATTGTTATATACGTGTAATGAAATAATATCTGAGTTTGAATGTTTCATATATTTTCTGGATGAAATTGTGATTCCGAAAAATTTATGGATGGGTTTAAATTCAAGATCTGACATAAAGAAATGTTGTTTGTTTTGGTCTTTATCGTACTGGTGGACTTGTTTGATTGAAAAGTTATATACATTTCCTGATAGTGGTTTCAGGTGTTTTCGTTCCTGACTGTAAATAGGATAAAATTTGGAGAAAAATGGTGGTTGATTGTTTAATCTTTGAAAGAATGTTAAGGATGTGTTTTTTGTTCTTGTGTATTTATCTTTTATATGAAGTTTGCCATTTAAAATGTTTATTGTGGGAATATACTTAGTTATAAATGGTATGACAATGATATTGTTTTTTATGTCTGTAATGTGAAATGTTTGTTTAAATGGTTTATTTAGTATTTTATTTTGTTCCATTGTTCTAGTGGGAACAAGGTAAAGTTGGATGTTTCCATAGTTTACTATTGTTGATCCTTGTGCTGTTGCTAATTTACTGGCTGTCTTTATAGGTGTTAGGATTGGACGTAACGATTTGATTTCATTCCAGGTAAGGATGTTAATAAAATTTGATTCTGCTCCTCAATCAATTAAAAAATCTATTTCAAGATCGAGTGGTTGAACTTCTTTACTTTTTGGGCTTTCTAAGAGAAATGGGATTGTCCAAATTTTTTCTCTTGGCTGTTCTTTTTGTATATTTTGGTAAATGTGATTTGTAATTGAGCATTGTTTTTCGTTATTGACTACTGTATTTATTTCATTTACATTTTGTTCAACTGATACATCGTTTCTTATGGGTCTAGTATAGTAGTCTTGAAGAAGTTCCGATTGATTTTCGTAAATGTGTGAACTAAAGGGTTGTTCGTATACAATGGGTTTGTAGTAGTTTTCGAGTGTGATCATATTAACTGAGATAGTGTTATTTGTATCACTTTCGCTGTCTGTTGATTCACAATTAATGTGGTTTAATTGTAGTTCGGTACTCTCTGTGTTGTCATTATCAGGGGGATTTGAAGTTGTTTCTTCAGTTGCTTGTACCTGATTAATTTGTCGCTGATGTTTCGGTGTGTTACTTCTATATTTGGGTTGCGAATCAGGGTAACGATTGTTGTTTCGATAAGGGGATTGAAAATAATTTATTCGATTGTATTAATTGGGATTCCTATTTTGTGAGTTGTTTCGTGACCTATTATAGTAATTGTTATTGTTTCTTTGATAATTAGATCTGTTGTAGGAAATGTTTCTTGATCTATTGTTTTGGTAACGTTGATTTATGTTGTTTGAATAACTTCTATTTCTGTTATTTGAGTATTTTCTATTTCTATTGTATGATGAATTACGTGATCTATCATTTGAATAGTGTCTGTTCCTAGAATTTGGATAGGAACTGGTATCAAAAAATGCTGTTCTGTTTGAATTTGATCGTGAATAGTTGTTTCTATACTGGTTATCTTGGCTATTTGATCGACTATATCTATTTTGTGAGAAATTTCGTGAATTTCGTTGTTCTGGTGATCTACCTCTATAACTAGTAATTTGAATTATCTGGGAGTGGTTTACCAGAGCTGTTATTACCATGTATTTTTTTGTTTGGTAAGTTTTGATCCTTTTTCCTGAATTGATAGAATGATTTATTTGGTTATTTGTACTTTTGCGGTTTATTCTGGTTATCTTGTTGTTTTTGTCTACATTCAGCAATGCTGTGTCCGTATCTTCGGCAATAATTACACCCTTTCTTGAAAGATGGTTTACCTTTGAAATTGGGGTTTTTCTCATATATGTTCAAAATTTCAGTGACTTTTTCAGTTAGGTCTACATCTGAATCGTGTATGTTGTTTATATGATTTTTTGTTTCTTCGAGTTTCTTTGTGATTTCTGCTTGTTCTAATTTTTTAACTAGATTTCCGAAATCTAAATCTGGTTCTCAGTTTGATGAGGGATGTAAAATTCTCTTTTAATAGCTATTTTTCTTAATTGGGGTGTTAGAGTCATCATTAAAATTTCTGTCATTTTCGTGTTTTTATAATAATGAGTGTTCAGTGAATATACTTTTTGAACTAGTGTTTCGATTTTAACTGCCAATTGTTTAATTGTTTCGTTTGGTAGTCTGCAAATTTCATTGCATAAAACTCTTTGGTGTTGTTTATATCTTTCAGAATCAAATTTTTTTGAAAATTCTTGTGTAAATCTTTTCCAATCTGTTTTTATGTCTATTGGTAAAACTGAAAACCATTTCTGAGCTGCGCCATCAAATGTTGTTTGTATTAACGCTGTGCGTCTATGTATCCAATTTTGATGGAGTGGTGTATTGATTGGTTCAGGTACGATATTTAAAACTAAATTTATTGTGACTGCGTTTAGATAGTCTTCTAGAGAATATTCAGGGTCTGTGCCTGTGAATACCATTAGTGTTTTATTTGATGTTATTGATGATCCACCCATGAGGTATGGACTCATAGTCATTTGTAGTGATTCTTTGGCATTTGGCATTTGTGAAATGATTGTCAGTTGATTTTTTGTTTTTTCTGGTTGTTGCAAATAATATGTTAGTGGTATTTCATTTTGTATTTGCGTTGGTTGATAATAATCAGTATTTGCTGGGTTCTGTGAGTAAAAATTATTATTTTTAGGTTCGTGATTTGATCTAGGTTGTCGCATATGTTGTTCTCGTGTGTATGGTTCAAAAATATCTGGTTGATTTACGTGATAAGAGTGGAGTCTTTGGTTTTGAAAATTTTGTTGATGGTTTTGGTCATGAAAATCGTCAGCATCTGATGAATGATGTTTAGTTGTATAGTAAGATGGTTTTTTTATTTTGGTATGGCTGTTTACTATTTTTTTCTGTTGAAAAAATGGATAGTTTTCACTGGGGTCTGTTGAATTTCGTTTGTAATCATTAAAATTTACAAATTTTGATGTTTGTTGTTGGAAATTTGGTCGTTGTGAAGATGAACGATTATGCGGGTTTGTACGAGGAGGTTTAGATGTTTGTGATCTATTTACAATTGTGTTATAATTTTGTTTTGCAATACAGTTATAATTTTGTTCTGCAAAATTACTTCTGGTGAATTTTCTTTGTTTTTGTGGTGGTTTCGTCATTGGTTTAAATGTTTGGTAATCCATATGTGAATATTTGGGAGCAACCGAGGGTTTAACCGTAGATTGCAATGTTACTTGAGGTAATAAAGAGGTCTTTGGTTTTGGCGCTGTAAAATTTGGATGTATTGGTGAAATACTTTGCTGTGTAGTTGTTACAATTGTTTCAACTATTTCTTCATTTATAAAATGTAATGGTGTTTGAATATCTTGTTGTGTAAGATTTCTATTTCCATTCAGGTTCTCTTGTTGTACAAGGGTTGAATTTAAACTATTATTTTGTCTTCTATCAGGTAAAAATGAATTATAGTTTAAAGGTGTTGCATCTATTGTAAGGGGAATTATCTTTACATAGTCTTTGTGAATAGAGATTATACTGATTTCTCGACTTGAGATGTCTATTGGTGTGTTCCGAAATAATGGATGACACCATTTAGGGTCCCAAATATAGTCTGATTGTTCTGCAATGACAGTGTCGTCATTGGTACTTTGAGGTCTGAAATTTTTTCTTGCTTGTGCAATTAAATCAATTTTATGTGCAAAATAATCAATTATGAACCATGCTAAGATTTTTTGTAAATCATGTTTGACATTTGGTGAAATTTTAGTGTTTGAAAAATTTTTACGAATTGTTTTTAAAAATGCTGAGAATGCGGCAATTTCATTTCTGACTTTTGTGTGTCTTGATGTTTGAACCGGTGATGTGCTTTCAGTTCCTATATTTTCTAGTATAGATACATAACAATATATTAGTGAAAAAACATCGTTGGTGAATATTGGGTTTGCTCTTTGGGAATTTTGGTGTTGTATATTTTTAATGTATTCTGTGAATACTTTTGAAAATTCTATGTCGACCTTTACTGTTTGAATAACATGTTTGCTGTGATATCTACTTTCTGTGCTGAGTTCTATGGTGTAGATTCCATATGGCTGTATTCTGCTCAATATCACAAGGTGTTCCAGCAGTGTCTCTTGTTGTTTAATGAGCCATACTAGAGTTCTTTTTACAGGTTACAGAAAAAAAATCAATTTGAGGAACGTGAAGCTGGTGTTCATCTAGGGTGAAAAGTTCTGGGAAACATTGAATGAAATTTATTTTTGGCTAGTGTTGTCATACTTTTTCAATCAACTTGTTACAATTGAACAATTGAAATGAGTTTAGGCAGCGATAACAAGTAATGCAAAAACTATGTCTACACTTTTTTAATTTCCAAATTATGACTCACAACAAAAATGTCAAAAAGTATATAGAAACAAAAACAATTTAATACATTTTTTTGTTCAAAGTTTTTCAATGGAAGGCTTTTCTTAGATGTTTTGGGCAACTTGCACATAAGCTTTTCACTCATAACATTGGTTTTTTTCCAATGCTTACGTTCTCATCAAAATTTGTCGAAACTCTAACGAAACAATTTATTCATTTCAATAGTTTCAAAATTAAGTGTCGTACAAAATACAACGGTGGTACTACTACAGGGGCGGATTTACGGGGGGGGGGGGGGAGCAGAACCTTTTTAGTGTTTTGGGAGAGCTAGGAAAATCAATATGGTCGCCCCCCCCCCCCCCCGCCCCCTTCGCGAAAATCCTAGACCCGCCCCTGGCTAAAACATTGTTTTTTGCGCTCAAAGGCGTCTGAAACCGAAATAATTTGCCGAATAATTTGATAAAAATGGACATACTGCAATCACTTTATAACTATCACGTGAACTCTCTGATTTTTGAAGTTGTTAAATTAGCAAAAGTTTGGGGCGCGAATGTGTCATCGTACTCACGTATGTAACGTTGAGTCGCCATGAGCACATTATGTACTCGCTTCAAACTTTCGAAGGTGGCTTGCACCCACATCAAAGTCTTGGCAGAGTAGTCGCCTTCTAGTCCTTTTGCTATCAAAATCACAAGTGCCTGTGACAGGAAAGAGACACTTGAAGTTCCTCCATTCGCAACAACTGCCCAAAATGGAGGGGCCGCCCTCAATGAAACAACCCGTCCTGCTCGGGCCTCTTGGTTGAATCCTGCTGAGTTTTCATAGACATCGATGATCGAGATATTGTTGAACTGATTTGATGCGTCCATTTTTACTGATGGACTGAGACTCTGACCAGAAAAGTAAAACAAATGTAAGCAAAACCAAAAGGCTATCAAAATTCTTTTAAACGAAATGAGAAAACAATCAACAAATTCCTGGTAAAAAAAAAACTACGAATAACTTTTTCTCTGTTTAGTTCAACGAACGAGTTGAAAATTCGTGAAATTTTAGCCAAACACAATTAACTTTTATAAAGAAATTCATAAATTTATGAAACCGCTGAAATGGCTAACTGATTTCGAGCTGTATTCCAAAGCAGGGGCGGATCTAGGTTTTTCACGAGGGCGTTGGGGGCAGATTTTCAAAAAATGTTCGAAAAATTTATCGACCTTTTTAGGGTGACTAAATTTTAGACATTTTTTAAAAAGTTTTGACCAGAAAAAATGAGTTTTTTTAGGCGCGCGCGCTCCTCTCAAAAATTAGTATATATTGGCGCCCGTTGAAAAAATTTAGAGTCCATCAGCCAAAAAATGGTATCTCATATTAGTGAAAGGTGGGAGCCTTTGGGTCGGCAGGTGGTCGACTGAAGGATTGATAGTTCCATTTTGACAAAAGATGAAGTGTCAAAATGGAAATTTCTTTGAATTTCCCTAGAATCAAAAACAAGCTGTTCTTCCCAAAAATTGATATTCGGACTGTTTAGTCAAAATAAAATAAATTTGATCAAACTTAACCTAGTAAAAAGCTTTATTACACAAAAAAATTGATGCTTATGGTAGGTGGGAGAGAGAGAGAGAGAGCCTGAAAATGACTTTTAATTTCTCTTTCACAATGTCCCTTGAGCAGTCTTCAGTGGCTAAAAATTACAAAAAAGAAAAAAAATTTCAAATACCGATCAAAATTAATGGCATCAATTCAATGAAGTGTCCTAAAAAGTAACTCAATTTTTCGAAATAGTTGCCAATTTAAAATGATTCGATGCTACCTTAACAATAAGCAAGGATATTGCAACCGGGTACTAATTTTTTCCCGTGAACAACTTTGTCCACAGGACTCAACTGGACGCCTGGACTCATCTCTACTTTTTTTATGATGTATTCAATTTTTCAATTTTCTTAGCGTTCCCGGCCAACTTAGCCTGGAGGTAACGAATATGCCTGGGACAGCGGTGGTCGTGGGTTCAAATTTGACCAGGACCTGTTTTTTTCAAATGGGTTATATTCTGTTTCAAATAAAATTGTTGGTCAATTAATTATCTGCATATCTGTTGTCGGCTTAGTTGTCACATCTTGGAAATGTTTTTTTTTGTGACCGCATTTTCTTTTAATATTGTTTTTAATGTTTGATTTACGTGTACACTTCGTATTTTACTTATCTTGACTTCATATTTACTTTTTTGTTTTTTTGTTTTGCTAATAAAATTCCTCGCCAGAATTATTTCGGCCTATTGACTCAATTTTTGGACCTTGGAAGATAAACACAGTTTTAGCACACGCCTCAGCATTTTTGCAAAAAATTAGTTTATCTCAGAAACTTTCCTAATTCAAAAAAGGGGATATCAATTGACAGACCAATCGCTCTTCTGTGAGCATGCGATCTCCTCAAGAGTCTTTTTACTTGATACTCCGTCTACAGCCTTCAAAAAAGTGTGGCCTAATGTTTGACACATCATTTTGATTTTTTTGTTTTCTCGATAACTACTCCTCTCAAAAATGAGTTTTTAATTCCAATGAATTGAACCATTTTGAAAAGTTACCCTGCATAAATGGCTATGAATATTTTTTGTTGCATATAAAGTTATGGCCCTCGAAACAGTCAAATTTTTGATTTTTGACTACTTTTCGAATCCGTTAGGTGGGGTCTTGTGGGTTCCAATCTTGTGGGTTCTCTGCTTAAGCGCCCATAACCTGCTGTTTACTGAGAAACATTATGGATTTTGGGAAGCCTTTTGAATGTTTTGGTCGAACATTTTACCGTTTTTTTGGAATCTTTTCGAGTTTTCTTATTATTTACACAATCAAACTTGAGTAAAAATTTTTACTGAAAAAACGGATTGCGATAATTGTTTCCGCAGAAGCGTCGATTCTTTAAGTTTCTGTTAAAAAACTTTACCTCCATGAGAAAATTGATTATCTCAAAATTTCTACTCTTCCCACTTGTTTTAGTAGAGGTTTTAGGCAAAAGTCTTAGGCGAAGTCCAATTTTCGAAATCAAACTTTTCGTGCCGCATCAAAATAGCAAACTCATTCAATATCAAATTCGTACCTTTAGTTTTAGCTGAAGGCCCTTAGTTTGTTTTTTATGGAGACAGGAGAAGTGCAATTCACCTAGTTTTTTTCATCATCTAATTTTGTTTTGACTTTTTTAATGTTTGTGTTGCATATATATTGTTACTATTGTTTCAAGGTCATACTGTTTTGATCGCAAACGTAACCGCACTGAGTTCACTATTCCGTACGTAGTTACGGAACCCAGTCAAACCTCACTTAGTTTGTGCTTAGTAAAACAACAGCAAAACTTCGTGTTAAATTACCATTTGAAATCTAATCAGTTTTCAACAAGACTTATAGGTATTGTGCTCAATATCACAAGCTGTTCCGAACTTGTTTGTACTTTTTTTCTGTTCAAACAAAATCAAGTTCCACAACAGTGTCCTATGGTGTTTAATGATCCATACTAGAGTTCTTTTTACAGGTGGTTACAAAAAAAATCAATTTGAGGAGCGTTAAGCTGGTGTTCATCTAGGGTGGAAAGTTCTGGGAAACTTTGAATGAAATTTGTTTTTGGCTAGTGTTGTCATACTTTTTCAATCAATTTGTTACAATTGAAATGAGTTTAGGCAGCGATAACAAGTAATGCAAAATTTATATATCTACACTTTTTTTAATTTCCAAACTATGACTCACCCAACAAAACTGTCAACAAAATAAGATATAGAAACAAAAACAATTTAATTCAGTTTCTTGTTCAAAGTTTTTCAATGAAAGCATTTTTTTAAGATGTTTTAGGTAACTTGCACATACGCTTTTCTCTCATAACATTAGTTTTTTTCCAATGCTTACGTTCCTATCAAAACTTGTCGATACTCTCACGAATTAATTTATTCGTTTCAATAGTTTCAAAATTAAGTGTCGTACAAAATACAACGGTGGTACTACTACAGGGGCGGACTTAGGGGGGGGGTGGCTTCAGAGTCTTTTTAGTGTTTTGGGAGAGCTCGGAAAATCAATATGGTCGACCTAAAAAGAAGGTAGGTGGGAGAGAGAGAGAGAGAGAGAGAGAGAGATAGAGCCTGAAAATGACTTTTAATTTCTCTTTCATAAAGTCCCTTGGGCAGTCGTCAGTGGCTAAAATTTTAAAAATTACGAAGAAGAAATTTTCTTCAAATACCGAACAAAATTAATGGCATCATTTCATTGAAGTGTCCTAAAAAGTAAATCAATTTTTCAAATTACTTGCCCATTTAAAATGATTCGATGCTTAATTACCCTTACAATAAGCAAAGATATTGCAACCGGGTACTAATTTTTTTTCCCGTGAACAACTCATCTGGACGCCTGGACTCATCTCTACCTTTTTCATGATGTATTCAATTTTCTTAGCTTTCCCGGCCAACTTAGCCTGGAGGTAACGAAAATGCCTGGGACAGCAATGGTCGTGGGTTCAAATTTGACCAGGACCTGTTTTTTTCAAATGGGTTATATTCTGTTTCAAATGAAATTATTGGTCAATTAATTGTCTGCATATCTGTTGTCGGCTTAGTTGTCACATCTTGGAATTGTTTTTTTTTGTGAGCGCATTTTCTTTTAATATTGTTTTTAGTGTTTAATTTACGTGTACACTTCGTAATTTTACTTATCTTGACTCCATTTTTACTTTTTGTTTTTTTGTTTTGCTAATAAAATTCCTCGCCAGAATTATTTTGGCCTCTTGACCCAATTTTTGGCCGTTGAAAGATAAACACAGTTTTAGCACACGCCTCAGCATTTTTGCAAAAAATTAGTTTATCTCAGAATCTTTTCTAATTTTCAAAAAAGGGATATCAATTGAATGACCGCTCACTCTTCTGTGTGCATGCGTTCTCCTCAAGAGTCTTTTTACTTGATCCTCCGTCTACAGCCTTCAAAAAAGTGTGGCTTAATGTTTGACCCATGATTTTGATTTTTTTGTTTTTTTGATAATTGCTCCTCTCAAAATTGAGTTTTTAATTCCAATGAATTGAACCATTTTGAAAAGTTACCCTGCTATGAATATTTTTTTGCGTATAACGTTATGGCCCTCGAAATAGTCAAAATTTTTATTTTTGACTACTCTTCGAATACGTTAGCTGGGTCTTGTGGGTTCCAATCTTGTGGGTTCTTAAGCGCCCATAACCTGCTGTTTACTGAGAAACATTTTGGATTTTGGGAAGCCTTTTGAATGTTTTGTCGAATTTTTTACCGTTTTTTTTTGGAATCTTCTCGAGTTTTCTTATTATTTAGACAATCAAACTTGAGATGAAAAACTTTACTGAAAGAACGGGTTGGGATAATTGTTTCCGCGGAACCGGTGATTCTTGAAGTTTCTGCTAAAAAAATTTACCTCCTTGAGAAAATTGATTATCTAAAAATTTCTGCTCTTCCCACTTATTTTAGTAGAGGTTTTAAGCAAAAGTTTTAGACAAAAACCAATTTTTGAAATCAAACTTTTCTTGCCGCATCAATATAGCAAATTCATTCAATATCAAATTCATACCCTCAGTCTTAGCTGAAGGCCCTTAGTTGGTTTTTTATGGAGACAGGAGAAGTGCAATTCACCTAGTTTTTTTCAACATCTAATTTTGTTTTGACTTTTTTATTGTTTGTGTTGCATTGCAAGTGGTGCAAAGCTCGGCTACGCCTCTGTGTTAAAAGATGAAATAAGCAAATCAATAAAACGCCAAAAAAAGTCTACTGAAATAAAACCATCAAATTCAGACGAACCAAAAAAATTAATGGATTTTTATTAAACTTCAATCTTAGAAAATCGGAAAAATGTTAAAAAACGTGAGCTCCAGGAGGTTTGTAAATGTGGCGAGGATGGCGTGAGT